TGACCCAGATTCAGTCCTCTGAGGCCTGCTCCAGGTTTGCTGCGGCCTGCTCACCCATGCCACGCTGCACTGCCCTCCCAGCCCGGCGTGATACACCTTTCTGATCAATCATCCAGGTTGTCTTGGGCTGGAAATTTGTTTCACTCTGTCTTTGTGTGGGTTCTGCTGCTTCAGAATTTGTTTAGAGCCACTTTTTATGAGTGTTTGGAGGGGTTTGGGGGAGAGCTCAAGCAAGTCACTGCTTTCACTCCACCATCTTGGCTCCGCCCCTCTAAATGTATTTTCTTTTGAAAATGTAGTTTACATCTAGGGGTCTGCAAATATAGGTATAGAACTATCCTCAGTTTCCAGCTAAAGCACTCCAGGTAACAAATCCTTATTTTGTGTGAACAGCCTTTATTTAGTGACAGAGAGAATGGGAAAAATGCAATTTTAAGGCACACAGGACTCAGAATAACACTCAATAAATAGAAGAAAACAGACAAATTATGCGAGTCTCATCACTCTTATAAACAGATGCGGCAAACATATGACATCTTCCTACTAGGAGCCTTGGTAGGGAACTGAATTCATGCAGTGCTATGCTATTTTGTGAATCCTGAGTCATCCCACAGGGGCTCACAGGGCACCCTAGTGTTTTGTATTCTGAATGTGGGGCCAAATCCTTTGTTCTTAGGCCATAGGCACCTGTGCAGCGTGAATTACAAATACTAATCACAGGGAGCAAAGGACACTTCCTTTTGCTTCCCACAACACGTTTATTGTCTTTTACTTGCTCTATAATTTAGGGGCCCTGTAAACAATCTTCTTGTTTTTCCGAGTCGTGTTTTTCAGGAACTTCCTTTCTCTCCTGAGAAGTGCCACTACTTAAAATTGAGTGTGGAATCACTTTTGAACCAATTTTCTTAGTGTGAATTTGTCCAAGAAACCTCTTTCTATGGCTATACACTGTAACCTGGGATCCTAATGCCTTAGAAATTAAACCCTCTCTCTTTTATGGAAATCATAGGTTGAGAACACTGTCCATGGATTCCCCTTGTGTCTCAAGCACATGTTGACTCTACCATGTACTTCCATGGAAACACTCATACTACTCCATTTGCTGATTCTTGCCATCTCATAAGGTGATAAAGCCTAATGCCAATAACACTTTTCTTTGAGTGTGCAAGAACGGTATAGATTGGTATATGTTGTTCTCATATGTTTTTGATCAGACAACCATTAATGGTTCCTGGAGGGATGTAACTGTGCGCAGGTGCAGGTTTCTAGCCTGCTCCCAAATCCCAGGTCTTTTCGCTATACAATTATCTGTCTTTAGAACTAAGAAAGAAAAGGTTAAAAAAGTAATAAACTGTTGTATTGGTTCAGCTTTATAATCCAATTGCAAAATTCTGTTCTGTAAAGAAGTCTTACTCTTATAATCTCGATGAAAAGGCACAACCATTGAAAACCTGGAGTTGTTCAGCCTTTTCAGTAGTATCTTATCCTTAATGACCCTATTTGGGTTTTCTTGGCTATGATACTGGAGTAGCCTGCCATTTCCTTCTCCAGAAGATTTTACAGATAAGGAAACTGAGGCAAAGATTGTTACATACCTTACCAAAGGTCACAAGCTAATGCATGTTTCAGGCTGGATTTGAACCGAGGTCTTCATGATTCCAAGCCTTGTACCCTCTCTACTGCAATACATAGTTGCCTGAAAACTTATCAGGAATCATCAACAAAGTACCAGTCACCAACAAAGTACCAATGTCAATACTCTGTTAGAAAAGAGGCATCCTTTTATATTGATGACAAAATTTGCCTCTTAACCCTTAATGCCTACCATCATTTACAAAGTATTAGAAAAATGATTTATCCTCAAACAGAGAATATAGTCTCAGAGCTGGAGGTGATTTTGGAATTTAGACTATAAAATGTTTGAGCTAGTATAGATCATGAAATATAGACTATATTATTTTCCAACTGAGAGGTATGCTAGAATGTAGATTATAAAACACTGCACTTGAGTTTTTAGGTTTGTCTAGCCCAGCTCCTCAATTTATAGTTGTACAATTGACATGCATGGAAAGCAGTGATAATCTTGTAAGGATATATTATAAGGTTGTAAAAATAGTATCCAGAAGGCTAAATGCTCAGAAGGAGCTGAGGATGGGAAGGAAGCAAGGGAAAATAAAAAAAAAAGAGAGAGGTCTATTTCTTCCTTCACTGAAGAAAAGTATGGGATAAAGTAGGATCAAAACTGGGATAAGACCTTTGCTTGTGGTAGATGGGATCACGAATCTCTCTGCTTAATTCCCTTTTTCTCTTTTTTTTAAATACATTTTTCCCGAAAAGGATAATATTTTTTTACCCTAGATATAACAAGACAAAGATGACTACATTGAAGATGATGCCACACACAGATAAGTGAGGAGATAATTTTAAAAAAATAGTTGCCTTTGATGAATTCAAGTCATCTGAGCCAGATGAAATAAATGCACAGGTCCTGAAACTCCTGTTCGATGTGATTGCTGAGCCACTCTCAGTGATAATTTCAAGATCATAAAAATGATAGAATGACAAGGTTGGTGTAGATCAATGTCATCCCAATTTTCAAAAACAAAGAAAAAAAGAAAGGAAATAGTGAACACTGCAAATTATAGGCCTTTTAGCTTCTTTTTGATTCCTAGGAAAATTTCTCATGATTAGAACATGCCAAACTAAGTTAATTTCATTTTTCCCCCCAGCAAAACTTTTTTTTTTTTTGGTGAGGCAATCAGGGTTATTTAGCGGCAGAGAGAATGGGACTTGCCCAGGGTCACACAGCTAGTAAGTGTCAAGTGTCTCAGTCCAGATCTGAACTCAGGTCCTCCTGACTCCAGGGCAGGAGCTCTATCCACTGCACCACCTAGATGCCCATAAAACTTTTTAATAAACTATTTTACACTATGCTTGTTGAGTAAATAAAGGAACATGGTTATGTAATAACACAATCAGATGAATTTTTAGCTGATTGACCGTGTTGATGTAAAGGTATTGGTTAATGGTTCAAGGTCAACATGCAAGATATCTACAGCAAAGGACCTCAGAGAACTATGCTGGGTCCTATACTATTGAATACTTTTCTCAACGACTTGAATATAAGCATGAAAATGTGTTCATCAGATTTACAGAATATTTAAGAGTGTGAATGATGGCTAACAAAGTCGTATGGTTGGGTTCCTTAAGTTTCTTCACAGGCTAGCGAAATGGGCTGAATCCAATCAGATGAAATTGACTAAGGGCAAGGCCATTCTTTCACTGTTGAACAGCAAGATTAAAAAAAAATTCTGAGGTGTTTAGTGGATGATGATTTCAATTCGATTTAGCAATGTGTGATGTAGCAGCCAAAACAATCATTGCTGCTTTAGCAAGTTATGAAACGGTTTTAGCTTTCAGTAAAAGGAGGTGTCAATTCCTGGACATGCTGCCCTCATAACTCTGCTTTGGGAATGCTTTGTTTATTTTGGCACAGAACAATTTAAGTAGAACATAGACAAGCTGAAGTATCCAGAAAGGGGTACGTAGGACGTTGAAGGGCTTTGAGACTATTTTCTATTTATATGAAGGAAAAGGGGATCTTTAACCTGGAGAAGAGAAGGCTAGGGGATGAATGCTGTCTTGAAGTATTTAAATGGCTGTCAAGGGAGGAGGAATTAGGTTTTTTCAGCTGCTTCCAAAAGGCCAGAACCAGGAGCAATGGATGAGAGCTATGAAGAGGGAAGTTTAGGCTTGATGTCAAGGAAAAAATATTCCTAAAACTGAAAGCTACACAGAGTGGGATGGCATTCCTGGGCATGTAAGAGAAATTCTTTCCTTGAGCATCATCAAGATGATATAGTGTATTGGGGATTACTTTTGTGTACGGGTTGATATAGATGGTCATGAAGGTTCCCTTCAACTCTTAAATTCCTGTGATTATGTAATTTGAGCCTGGGATACACTTATAGGACACAATTACTGGAGGTTTTTTTATTTTTTATAATTTATTTTGAGTTATCCACAGTTACTTCCATGAGCATTTGAGTTTAAAATTTTTATCCCCCTCCCTTCCCACCTCCTTCCCAAGATGGCACACAATCTGATATAAGCTATACATATACATTCCTGTTAAACATTTTCACAATAGTCATGTTGGAAGGAAGAATTAGAACCAATAGAAGGAATCACCAGAAAGAGGAAACAAAACAAGACAGAAGAAAAAAAAAGAGCAAATAGTATGCTTCAGTCGCATTCAGACTGCATAGTTCTTTCTCTGGATGCAGATAGCATTTTCCATCATGAGGTCTTTGGAGATGTCTTAGATCCTTGCATTCCTGAGAAGGGCTAAGTCTATCAAAGTTAGTCATAGCACAATGTGGCTGTTACTATGTACAATGTTCTCCTGATTCTGCTCACTTCACTCAGCATCTTGGAGTTTTTTTGATGGTTTATCTTTGTCATTAAACTTGGAAAGGTGCAGCGTGAAAGGAATATTTAACATTATGGTGACTGGTAGATAAGTTTGCCCAGGAGATTCAGTCACAATGTGTATATTGAATACTATACTTGGTAAGAGATCCACTACTGAATTCTATCCAGGTCATTCATCAATGATTGGCAGTTGTGAGAATGCTGGAGAATAGATTGTGGTGACAAGATGGAGGTGAATGGAGTCAGAAGGAAAAAGGAAATGGAATTGATCAGATACAAAGAAGTTTCTAGCGTCCCAGTCTGGTAGTTGATCTCCCCTCACTGGATAGTAGATCCATATTATCACATTGTACAGCTGCTGTCATATTGTGCAGGATATGGTTCTATAGGGATAAATGTCAAAAACAGAGAATAACTTAGCTGAAAATTTTTTTAAAGTACTTTGAAAGAAGTTTAATCTTGGCCCCATTTCCCCATTAACAGAATGAGAATTTTCAAGTTGACTTTGTCCAGTATTTCTTCCACTGCTAAACTGTCCTACTTTTATTATTCTGTACATTTCAGGTTTAAAATTTTAATTCAACAGAAGATGAGCTTTGCATCCGCCAATGATTACACCAGGATCGCATTATCTTAGAGTCACTGTTGAGCAGTATAAAGGGGCTGACTATTTGAAAGCACAGGGAAAGTAAAACTGAGACATGAAGCAAAACAGGATTAGAGATGTTAGAAAAAGTCATATACATCACAGGAATGGAACTCATCAAATTAAAGGTAACAAAGGTGCCCCCCAGTAGAAGGATGGCTGTGGCAGCGTGAATCTCTGGTGAAGCTCTTCGAGACTGGGTAGTGGTGTGAATGGGTTGAACTCGCTGGTGATGGCTGTACAAGAAAAATACAATATAGGCACTGGTAATAGCCATGAGACCCACAAAAGAACCATCATGAACAAACTTCCAGATTAGGAACATCTTAGTCTTATTTTCACGAAGGTCTGAAGCACTAAATCCAATTCTTTGCTCCTCTTTACTGTGTGTTCTGTTCCTGTAACCAAGGACGTATGCAGGCAGAACTGCATCTATCAGCAGATTCAGGAGCCAGCAGGGAAGACAGAAGGGAAGGATGCCCTTCAGAGCTCTGGTTTTCAGCTCTGCTTTTATGAGGCTATTTGGACTGATGGTGATGGCCTGGAAGATAATCAGGAGGAAGGAGCTACAGAGGGAAAGGCTACGAGTCGCTCTCTGCTGTAAGTTAGTAATATACTCCCTGTCAAATCCACAAAATATCTTAACCCCCAGACTTCAATTGTCTTGGGAATTCCCCTGAAAAGAAGTAACAGGATGTTGGTAAAGAGAAAATGGATGAGAATCAGAATTCTGGATCTTGTTTTGTGAGCACTATTGAACTTGAAACTGTATAGGAATATGAGGAAGGAGTTCCCTAGGACTCCAATTACTATCTGATTCAGGTAGATAATCCTCAGGATTTCATCAGAAGAGATCATTAGATGTATTTGGTTGTCTTTCTCAGAAAAAAAAAACATCACCAGATAAAAAGTAACCTGGGGAGAAACAAAGAGAGACATGACAGTTAATGACTCACAGTTTCAATGCCTTCATCTCCTTATCTATATCATAAGAAACAGAAAAGTTATGCATATGGGTGAAGAAAAATGAGGGTCAGACAAATGTTCATGGAACATAGATTCACCAGCCTTTCAACCAGTGAAATTATGAGGGCTTAATTTGTATTATGAAAAATAACAGCACATTTTTATATGACAAGGCACCTTGCAATCCATTGCTTAAAAGAATGTGTAGCTGATTAAATACTCACGTGTATTTTGAAGAATGAATATGCATTGCATAACTGGTTCTGATTTGCCAGCTGTATGTTTGAAAGGTAGAGTTTTGATTGGCTGAGTCAGAAATGGGGTGCATTTGGAAGGCAAGGACTACCCAACATGGCCACCTTTACTTTTCTTTACCTGGCTGAAATACAAGTGAAACTTGCTTTAAGTCTCTGAATTTTGACAAATTGATATTCTGAGAGCCCGTTTCTGACCACTTCACTCCCATGCTCAAGAGATTTAATGACTTCCAGTTACCCTAGGATGAAACACAAACCCTTTTGATGGTATTAAAGGTAATAAAGCTACAGCTCTTCTCTGTCCTGTCTTTCTAGCTTGATTTCACATTGGCCCAATGTACTGTAAGTTCTGGCCAGACTGACTGTCTCATTGCTCCTCATAAAAAGTATTTCATCTTCCACTTCTCTCCCTTTGTATATTCTGCTGTCCCTCATTCCTGAAAATTTCTCCTTCTACCCTCACCCTCTCAGATTTCCTTTTCCTATTCAAACTTTAACTTGTCATTTTCTACAATTTTCTTTTGCTGAACCCCTCAGTTGTACTTTCCCCCTTTCCTCCCCCAAATACTTATTTGCCACACACCCTATATATGCATATATGTTATATATATATGTATTTATGCATTCATATATGCATATACTGCCAGTTAATAAACATATATTAAGTACCTAGTATGTTCCAGGCACTGAGCTAAACACTGGGAATAAGAAAAGACACAAGATAGTCATTATTCTCAAGCATAATTACTTAGTTGTACATGTTCTTTCCTCTTCCTTAAGTCATCAGTATTTTTTTGTAAATATCATAAGAATCTAACAGAATTTCTGGTTTACATTATGCACTTCTTGAAATAAATTATATTTCACTTTAAAAGTGTTAACATAAATCATAACAACGCCTGCAAACATACAGTGATTTCTTCATAAATGCTCCTAATCTTTATTTATCTAAATCTCCCTTACGTAATGCAGGATAGCCTCCCATAATTCCGGGATAAGGAGATAGAGTAACCACTGAGGAAATGGCATGATGCTTTATATAAGTCATTTTATCTTTTTCTTTGTTTTTTGTTTTTTGGGGTTTTTTTTGGCTAGGCAATGAGGTTAAGTGACTTGCCCAGGGTTGCACAGCTAGGAAGTGTTATGTGTCTGAGGCGGGATTTGAACTCAGGTCCTCCTGAATCCAGGGCCACTGCTCTATCCACTGTGCCACCTAGTTACCCCATGAGTGATTTTATATAAACCCAAACTCGCATCCTACAGTGAGAAATGGGAAATTATCAGGAATTGGTTAGTATCACTTAGTGGGTTTCCAACAAAAAGAGGTACAAAATCCTTTCTCAGTAAAGAGAGAGGGAAGAGCTCTTAGAGGTCATGCGATCCAGCAATTTTTTATTTTTACAAAGAAGAAACTGAGGCTTAGAAGCACAGAAGGTGCTGGACATTTTTAAAGAAATTAATAGTGGAGGGAGAGATCAAGAACAGGGAAATGAAAGCTCACTATAGTCACAAATAAGATTTTTTTTTATTACTGAAACAAGAGGGACAAGGTCTGGTCTCACTTGTTTTTATAATCCATAATATCTAAAAATGTGGTAAGATAGGGCTGTAAGCTCCCTTTGTCAGGTCCTCAAATATTAGTTTTCTTCACTCTCCTCTAATAGAGTCTAGAGCTATGGAACTCTTGGTGTTCAAACTGTACTCAGAGTCCATAATTAAAACCCTTTCCTATGATCTAACTAGGTTATGACTGCTTAGGATCAAGATGATTCATGAGTTTGCTATTGGGACAGAGTTCATCTCCTTTAGGATGTTATAACCATGAACATAATCCCTTGATGTAACCTAGATGGCAAGAAGACATTTGCTTCTTATTAGAGACAGCACCATGCTTATTTAGGAGAATTCTTTGAGCAGTTCCCAGCACTCAGTAACTCAGGACCCTGCTTTCCTTCTCTTAGAAAAAAAAAAATTTCCCTGTAACAAGCAGCATCTCTGTGATTAAATTTAGAGTCACTTACCAGGTTGTTCTCTGCTGCCAGGGCAGTAGGTAGACTCACAGCAATGACTGTGTGTGTGTGTGTGTGTGTGTGTGTGTGTGTGTGTACGTATGTATGCATATATATGTGTATGTGTCTCTGTGTTTATGTAGATACACATGGATGGTGGATGTGGTCAGCACCAAAACTATATATTAAGCTAATTCTGAAATCATCTTCCTTAAGATCTGTGATTATCATGTCACTTGCTGGAAAAATTAATAGTCCTCATAGAGAATATCTAATATGTCTGTAGAACCAAAACCAAACTTTTCTCTAAGGTACCAATTCCCACTAACAATGCTTATTGATTAATTGTAAACTCCAAAGCAGCACCAGTGAGCAGTTGGGAGAAAATGTTTTCTGTGCTTGAGAAGAGAGAAGGGTGAAGTAAGAACCAATATGTGTCACCCATAACAAGGCAGGGATCCTTGCAGCATGTAGAGAAGCCCTCCATATGTGGTTTTCTACATCTTTAGCAGTAATTGTATATATTCACATGGACAATTCTTCTGCAAGAATGGGTCAAAATGGTAGAACTTTGATCTGTATGGTTTTTTTGGGGGGTGGAGATGGCTATGGAGCTCAAAGATGAAGGTTAAGTAAAACAATGGCTGACATTAAGGTTGACACATTATAATTGTCATTACTTATTTTAGCTATTATCATCTTCATATTAATTGTATGATGTTGACATTAATAAAAGCCAAAGACCATAAGCCTAAATAAAGAAAATGTTCACAGTCAGCCTGCATTTCTCCTGATGCTCTGGAACATGGGAGGGGGCATGGAGGGACAACCAGATGTTGTGGAACAGGTATCTACCGGCTGGGTTAGTGGTCAAAGAAGGGATACTACCTTATGCCTAATACTTGATTAAGGAACAATAATAAATTTTAGTTTTGAGTGACCGCCAATGAGTGAAATTGATAGAATTGAGGAGATATCTTTTTTTCATGGAGCATGACACCTTTTATTAAAAACTGACTCCTTTGTTAGCAAGGGCTAGACCACTAACATCGTTTGTGCAGAAGCTATTCAATTTCATGACATCACTATTATCTGTTTTCTCTTTTGTAATTGCCTCTTTCTTGTTTGTTTAAGAACATATCTACTACCCATAGCTGTGAAAATATATTCAGCTTCTTTTTCTAATTTTTATGGCATTATCTTAAATACTAGGGTCCAATATCCATCTTGAGGTAGCTAAGTGGCACACTGGATAGAATGCCAGGCCTAAAGTCAGGAAGACTCTCTTCATGATTTCAAATCTGACCTCAGACACTTGTGGAAGTCACTTTACCTTCTTTGGCTTGGTTCCTCACTGGTAAAATGAGCTGGAGAAGGAAATGGCAAACCACTCCAGTATCTTGTGAAGAAAATTCCAAATAGGATCATGAAAAGTCAGATACGACTCAAGCTAGTGAACACCAAACACTCATTTTGAATTTGTCATGGAATTTGATATAGGTTGTTTGTCTAGGCTTAATTCCTGAAAGATTGCTTTCTGGTTTTTCCATTTTTTTAATCAGATAAGTTCTTTGCTAATATATATGTAGACACACACACATACATACATACATACATACATACATACATACACACATATCAGTTAATTTAACATTGGGTCATTGCATTCCATTATTTCTGGTTTTCATGACTGAACAATCTTGTTTATCTATTTTTATATATTAGTCCAATATTTTACATATAGCTTTATGTTTGGAAGTAATATTCCCCCCTTCAACTCTTGCTTTTGTTTATTATTTTCCCGATTTTCCATATCTTTTGTTCTTCTAAATGAGTTTTGTTTTTTATATAGCTAGCAATTACAATTTACAAAGTGTTTTTGCTTTTATTATCTCTCATCTCCAAAACAACCTTGTGAGGTAGATGCAACTATCATTTCCCTCTTAAAGATAAAGAAATTGAGATTGGGAAAGGAGATGTCCTTTGCCAAGGGTGACACAGCTCGTAAGTGTCAAAGGCATGTTTTAGGGCTTTTTGACTGCATCTAGCACTGCAAACAATTGAATTCTGTAAAATATTCCTTCAAGAGTTTTAATTGTACATAGTATTAAAATACAAAATAAAATTGGATAGTAATGGTCACTTATTATATTGGAATGGGTCAGTCAGGAGCACTGAATATTTACTTCTCTAGCTACTTGTATTGTTGTTTATTTCATCAAGGAGCATTTTATAATTTCATCTATATTGGCATTGGATGAGCTTTGGTAGCTTGCCTTCCAAATAGTTGATGAATTTTGAAGTGACTTGGAATGACATTTCTCTTTATATCATTGCCTTTTGGGATTTGTTATTATTATATGGAAATGCTATTTGTCTTTTAGGGTTTATTTTATAGTCTTCAAATTTGCTGAAACTATTGCCTCAATTAATATCTTTGCTGATTCCTTAGGATTTTCTTTGTTAACAGTCATGGCATTAACACATGGGGATAGTTTTATGTTTTCTTTACCTGTGTTTCACCTATAATTTCTTTCTCTTGCCTTATTGCTGCTATTAGCATTTCCAAAACTATATAAATTCTCATGGGGAGAGGAAACATACTTACCTTGCTCTGATTTTATTG